GTTCGAGCTCTTTAAGAAGGTCAACCTCGTGGCTCGTGCTATTGTCCGATGTAGACACGTCGATCTGTTGATCAGGCGCGCAATCTTTTTCTAAAAACGCTCTTACGTCTGCATCTGACGCCGACACGCTTATATCGTCGCGATGATCAGGGTCTGACCATTCTGAGGCATCTGAGTGGCGGTCGTCGTGCTCTTTAAGGAGTGGTGGCGGCGCAATGGACAGTGCTATGTTAGTAATGTTACGTTCGAACATTTTTTGAAACAAGGCCGCCATTTTACTCATGTTCTCATTGATCTCGGCTAGATTCCGAGCCGTATCTGCGGTGAGTGTCTCATCAGTCTGGCCGGGTCGGCCTGCCTGATCGCCAGTTTGGCTGAGGCTAGTCGTTTGAGTAGGATCATTGGTTTCCCGATCGTGATCCATTATATTACTCGGAATGGTAAAGTTAAAGTTAATCTAAAACAAAAAGGTTATCACAAAGCAACGTTGGAAAAAGCAACTGCAGTACTCACCAACCAGCAAAGTCGTATTCAGCAACTAATGTAGATAATACCAACTATATAGGTCTTCGATGCTACAGCTATGAAAGGCTAACGTACAATGGCTATCGGAAAGAATTATTAAACATGCAAGATATTTGCCGTATATGGCACGAATGACCAAAATCGCCGGAAAAGTCGCCCGCACACGAGAGCAACTGGCTTACGCCAATGGCCACGAATGACTTTTTGCTAAGTACATAGCTCTAGTGTGCGCCGGCCTTTACACAGACGATCATATAAAAAGATTTTTTATTAAATAAGCAAATCCTTAAGAAGGAAATGATTAAATTTGCTTCCGTAGCCATTAGTCTATTAATTTTTGTACCGGTGTTGCCTACTACATAACATTTTCAGTTTCAGTCTAGATTTCAGTTTTAAGTTGGACGTTTCGTATCAAGTGAGGCATTTTTCGTAGTTTTTCTGCCACTCGGGCAAATTGCTGACATCATCTTTGAAAAATATTTGCCGATACGCCCATGGGTATACTTTACACCAGCGACCTTGATTATGACACAATAACAGTATTTTTAGTTTTAAAAGCAGAATGAAGAAACTCTAGAAAGAAAGAAAGAAAATTAATTTAAGCTCGAATTCAAATTCCTTTTGTTATAGGTTACTGAAAATAAATAATAGTTCTACTCAGTTTTGGAACAAAACAATTGCAAGTAAATATTTGATGAATATCTCAGACCACAGCTGTGAACCATTATACCCCCAGGTGGTACTTTACATGCAACAGGATATTTAAAACAGCAAGCACAACTATGATCTCGTTTCTTGAAAATTTTAGTAAGAGCCTTAATTATGGAATATCGAAAGGTGAGAATCTTTTAATACTGAGTATAGGTAGAAACTTGCCTATAAACTTACCTCTCTTCATCGTATTTGAAGTTACCTCTCTTACGAGGACATATAAAAAGTATGAAGCACAATGGCTATTGCCTATTGCGAAATTGCATCCGTTAATATAGAGAAATGATAATATCAAGATTGAAATTAATCGCATAATTTTATTACGAACAGGGCTTAACTAGAATGATAATAGATGTTAGATAATAGAACGACAAAGAAATAGATGTTTTATAAAGCTCTCATTTTTACAGTCGTACGTGGGATAAGATTTTATTCGATTCCCATGCAGGCCTGATCATGAATTTTTCTGTCGTCCTTTGTGATTAAATGCATGATTGTCAAAATAATTGGCGGTCCGAGTTAGTATAGAATTAAGATCCACAATCCCAAAAAAAAGCTTCGGGGCAGACTTAGCAAGACAGATTATTACTGCAAAACGGAGTAAACGAAGTTTCCTTTATTCTCAGAAAGCCTGCATGTAGACACAATGAATACTTTTATATTTTCTGTCTCAGAAGCCACGGAAGAATGGTCTAACGAAAGGAAATCTCATCCAATACTGCAACGCATTCAAAGCAAAGCGTATCAGGATCTACGAGAACGCAGACGTCACTTGGCAATCTCTCATTTTTACTTCAGGATTAACTCGGGCCTTAAAATGAAACATACCTATATAAATTTACTTCGTGAACCCGTGGAACGTTTCATATCTCATTATTATTATGTAAGAAGCCCAAATCGCTGGGGGGGAAAGCTTCGTAAGTTGAAAGCTTTGGGTCATTGGAATGTGACCCTGGAACAATGCATTGAAAATCAGTACGAACTCAAGGTTGTAAATGGAACACTATGACCAGATTATTTTGCGGACCAGATACGTTTTGTCTCAACGGAACAAGCCAAGCTCTGTCGCAAGCGAAGGCCAACATGTTTCGTTATTACTGCAGTATTGGTTTAGTAGAATATTTGAATGAGTTCACGGCTGTTTTGCACAAACGTTAGCCAAACTTTATCTCAAAATATCACAAGATAATAGGCAAGAAATTCGTAACAGTCGGTGTCGAGGGGAAACCAATTAGTGATAGTGTCATGGCCAGACTAAGAATGGTTAACAATGCAGACATTGAATTGTATAATTACGCCAAAACTTTGTTCCTTAAACAAGCCGAGCAATGTGGAATAAAAATAAAATGAACGTCTTCCAAATTAATCTGACCTTCGAAGAGGCCGGGTGAAGTCGAAGTGTAGTAAACAACTTCTATTTTTTTATAATGCAAGTTGCCTTCTGAGCGATCCAGGATATACCCACCCGTACCCTATTTAATTTAAGGAATTTCCATGATAAGGAAGAATCTGCTCAGCAAGAATAGTAAGTGATAGAATTCTTAATTCGGAGGCTTCAAGGCAGATTTGGCAGCGTTGCTTGTTGCGATTTTGTTCAAAAAGATTTATTCCTTCGACTTAAATACTAATAATATTCTTAGATTTATATTTTAACTTCAGTTTATTAACGCAAGATTCACTTTTCTACACTCGAAATCTAATGCTCTAACTAAACCCTCAAATTACGTTCTTTTTAAGCCTTTTTATGCATTCCCGCCAAACGTGTCATAAACCCTATATTTACTGCTATAACTGCAGGGACTACTCATTGCGAGAGACGAGTCACTGATTTTATACATTCTTTTTAAGCCTTTTTATCCATTCTCTCCAAACGTGTCATAAACCCTATATTCACTGCTATAACTGCAAGGACTACTCATTGCGAGTCACGAGTCGCTGGTTTAATACATAAAAGAAAACATCTTTTTACTATACAATTAGCAATTATTATTGAATAAAATACTCACAAAGTGAGCTGAAACGTAAAACTAGAAAATGCTGACAATGTTCTGCTTATCAGGCTTACTAGGTTTGATAGTTCGATTCCACTCATAAAAATATTGTACGACACAATTTAGGTATTCGAATATCAAGACATAGCTGATGTACTGCCTCGAGTATTCATTGATTCACTTGGTTGACTAGACATGGAAGCATCCATGTTGCTAAATGCAGGGATGGTCCTCTCATTTACCAGCACTGTTTTGATGATGAACTTTCAGCATATGCTGCAATTGGATAGGCTGGTTCTCCATCCTTGCTTATATCAAGACCTGGTAAACGAAATAGTGTACAAAAACTAAACTTAATATTGCAGCAATTTTTAAACAGAATACATAATTGTGAAGGATAGAACATAAATCTTCGAATCAGGAATATTCTAGCCCAGTGATTTTCAATGGGAAGAACCCTGGGAACGAGACTGACCATCATCTTTTGTTTGTAACGTTTGCAAAACTCAAGAAAATTTGCAAAATGGGTATTGATAATTGGTGCATGGTTTTTTATAAAAATCAGCCAGCGTATGTAAAACTGTTACGAGGCGTATGTGATATTACAATAAATTGTTTCAGATTTGAAAATCACCTTTCGCTTCAGCTTCAGCTTTTACTTTCAGTTTCTTGAAGAATCTGAGACTTAGAAAAAGTATTGCCGAGAAGAACGCAGACAAGACAATTATCGCAACACCACCAAGGAGATCCCAACCGAGTAATTTAAAACTGAGCTTATCACCAACATACAATATACCATCATTTTTGTCCAACAGAGGCGCGGCAAGAAGCCCCCACATTCCGCCACCTAAATGAACTGAAAAAATTTAAAGACTTTAATTCGAAGTCGCTTAAAATTCAAGGGTGCTGGTGCATGAAGCAACATCAGCAATTTGGATGATGAACACTTTTCCATAGAAACTACTTCTTTTTTAAGTCTAATTTTAGCGATGTCATTTTCAAGTATTCCGGATCGCCCCCATTGGCAATCTGGTATGTCCAGCACAAAAACGACTCTGAATAATTATGCTTCATCATGTGATCATTTCAAATAAGATTGTCATTGCCTCATGATATGATTGAATAACCACACTTGAATTACCTGAGGTTGCCGTCACTGGATCATCGACTTTTAAATGGAGAAGTACGATATCCCAGGCGATATAGGTGGCCCCAGCAATGAAACCGACAATAAAAGCTGCATAAGGATGCATCTCGTTGCCACCGGCACTAATAGACACCTAGAAACACGCACGAATCAATTGATCAAAGATAGGGTCTACCGCGGTCGAGCCTATATCGTAACTAAGTCTAAGACGAAAAATGTTTTCTGGCCAATGGTTTTAAATATGCTTTTAATTACGATACAATTAGAAATTAAAATGAAATGTATTACTGAATGAGCACTAAATGAACTGAGTTTTAAATTTCTGAATTTGTGGACCCCAAATGTAATCCAGATTATCTTTTTGCAAACACCTAGAATTACGTGATAATATAATTGCAAGTTTTTCTGACTAGGCGTTCTCAAAGTGTGAAGTATAATATAATGTAATGACATGTGAATTTGATACCCAAGTTCGTGTCAGGCCTCCGAGTCTACATTGTTCCGGTTTTTTTCTAGTCACTTGCGCACTGATGTATTGGTTGTTTGGTTACGCGTTTGCGTGGGGAGAGAAAAGTAATCTGTTTCTTAGCCACAGTAATTTCGCCCTGTCGGACCTTCTTGAATCAACTAATATCTATGTTCATTGGTTGTTGCACTTCACCCTCGCTGCCTTCACCTGTTCGATTGTAAGTGGTGCTCTCGCCGAAAGGACAAACTTTACCGTGTACACGCTGTTTACGGTATTGATGTCAGGTAAGTTGATGCTATTAGGAACCTTTAGATTGTTCTAACTATAACAACAAGTTTATATTATGGATGACTCAAAGGCAAAGCGTCGATAGCCAATATTCTTATCATTTGGTATATACAAGATTGAGGGTGATGTAACCCGTTCTCCACAGGCGTTTTTAGACCCTACCATCTTAGGTAACTGGCTTAAAATTTCAACATTTGAGGCTTCAGAAAAACATCAAAACAGTGAAAAAATCTTCAATATACAGAACCTCAAAATATTCTTTACATATGCCGTTGACTGTGAAAGCTTTGATTTTGAAGCGACTTTTTACAATAAAATAGAAATTTTGGTTTTAAAAAACCCTTTTTGAAGTTTAAGCGATGATGTAAAAGCCTTTCGTAGCCTAATAATATTTTTATTATGACTTTAGAAAACAACGTATCCAGCTCATAATTATATAAATAAACTTCATCCTTCTTCATACAGCGAACACAGTATATTATAAGCAACTATACTATATAGACACGTACCGATTTAAAACATTTGAAAGCTTTATATAAAGAATAAATCGTTTCTTTTCCGCTTTTTAAACTTAAAGGGAAACCTTCTTTGTTTTAGATCATTGGATCCCAATGATGATTTTCATTGGATTTTTAATTAAACCCATTTTATTTGGCATGTAATAATAATGTTTAGTGCCTATATCACTGGTGGAATCTTTATGCATTTGAAAAGAATGTAAAAAGTTAGTTAATACATTAAAGAAAGTTTTTGATTTAGTGCACTAATTTTGAAGATACTAGCCTTTAAACTACCTGCAATTCCTGAGTCCCAGGCTCCTGTAAACAATGGGCAGTTTCAAATTGAATAGCCGTGTTTAAACCCAGGAGGTTGGGACTCAGGAACCGCAGTTAGTTTAGAGGCTTGTATCTTCGAAATTATTGCACTAAATCAAAAAATGTTTTTTAATATATTAACTAACTTTTTACGTTGTTTTCGAATGTATAAAGATCCCACGAGTGATATAGGCACTTTAAAAGCAGTTTCATAAAAAACGTTTCCAAATTTGCAGTTAATAAAATGCTGACGTTATCATTGAAACACGAATTTTCAGCCAGTCAGAAAGTTGCTGATCAGCTTCCACTCATTTAAATCTCGCGCAAGCGCATAAGTAACAAAACCGGCATCCAACGACCATGGCATAGAATTTTGACAACTTTTGATCCCGTTATGTTCTGTCACAATACCCGGGTGTAATTCCTAACCTCCGGGCGAAATTAGTATCCTCGCACGGTGCTTACACTCTAAGTTAATCTGTAGAATTAATTCATTTTCGAGTACCCCAAAACTTTTTAAAATTTGAAACCCCTGCAACTTTACTACCTTACTAGCCATGCAGCTCGGTTTCTTGTTATTATTGCACAGATCACGTGATCAAGTATTAAATAAATAATAAATAATTTCAATGCTTTTAGCCTGAGGGGGGGGGGGGGAGAGGAGGGGTCTCTTTTGTTGAACATCCGTGATAATATTTAACGATCCTGAAGTTTATGAGAACTGATTGTTTGCGCAGCTTTTGCGTCGTTACTAATAACTCACTTTGTTGAAGGCTTCATTTACCCCGTCGTTACTCATTGGTGTTGGCACGAGGAAGGCTGGCTCAAGAAAGGCGACGAAGAAACTCTTGGAGAAGGTGTCTCTTTTCAGGTAGGCGAAACTTCGCAGCTATCAGGAAGACGAGGAACCCTGGGTTTTTATCAAATACCTAAGGTGGTACACCATTAATTTTGCATAATTATTGATAAAATTGAAAATATCGAAATATCTTAACATAATAATATCCGTCTTTTACATAGAGTCTAGTTCACAGCACAGATCTGCTTCAGTGTGCAAAATGAGAGCTTAGTTTGGAGCTTAGTTTTATGGTAGAAAAGAGCAAGAGTTTTGCCGCTGTATTATTCAAATCAACTTCGGCACAATTGCGCAAAAATTATTTCTTTTCGGACGTGTATCTAAACTCCGAAACGACTGCTGAAGCGAACTTGGCATGTGAATGTCTGTACTGTGAACGCGAATTACAACAATCATACATTTCTACTTCTTAACATATTTCAATATTTTATAAATATGCAAATTACCTTAAGCTGGTACACCACAATCGTAAAATCTTAGCCAAAGTCGGTTAAAATTTTTTTGAAAAAGTTAAGTAATTGCTGATCACCAATTCTTGTTTTGCCCTGAGAAGCTGCTTAAAGCAAAAATAATAAATTCAAAATTGAAATATCACTGGCTTCCTGTGATCTATCTATATTTACACATTTGCAGGATTTTGCAGGCAGTGGTGTAATTCATGTCACTGCAGGAACCATGGCTTTGGTAGGCTCAGCAGTAATTGGATCAAGATCTGGAAGATTTGAACGTGGTAAACCAGTTCCTATTGGTGGACATACTGTTCCGGTAAGAATTTTTTTTAATCATCGTATTCGTAAATATATATTTAGCCATCTTGAATCATGTGCATTATGGCTTAATAAAATTTAAAAGTAGTAATGTGGATAGAGAAACTATATGATAATTTTATATAATACATAAACACTTTTTACATAAACACTTTCCTGGCGACCATGAAGGCATTTAATTAATTTTTTGCACATGTACCACAGGTAGCCCGCTATTGGATTTGCTTTTAGTTAAATATTAAACACATTCTATGCAAAACGACATGAAGTGTCATCTTCCTTCATTCACTGCCGACATATTATCGCAGGCGCCAATTCGTGCGGTGCAGTGTAACCTTTATGTATATATTAATATAAGGTTGGCAACTCTTTGTCGTATTTTCACATTTACGAATTACATACCCAAATTACACATGAAAATACTCGTACTTAAACACAAAAATATACACAAAAAACTAAATCTATGTGGGAACTGACTCTCCTAAAACATTTCCGAAACATTTGTTTGTCTTTAAAGCCATTGCAAATATGTGAAATTTACGAAAATACAAACACTTTTTGGTTGAATTTTTTGAAAAGCCGTCGGGATCCCATCACCCTGCCCTACGTCACAGCAAACACGCAATATGATTGGCTGGTTGAGTCCCGTTAACGTAAACAAATTTCAAAATTCAAAGCTAAGCCAATCATATTGCGTGTTTGCTGTGACGTAGGGCAGGGTGATGGGATCCCGACGGCTTTTCAAAAAATTCAACCAAAAAGTGTTTGTATTTTCGTAAATTTCACATATTTGCAATGGCTTTAAAGACAAACAAATGTTTCGGAAATGTTTTAGGAGAGTCAGTTCCCACATAGATTTAGTTTTTTGTGTATATTTTTGTGTTTAAGTACGAGTATTTTCATGTGTAATTTGGGTATGTAATTCGTAAATGTGAAAATACGACAAAGAGTTGCCAACCTTATATTAATATATACATAAAGGTTACACTGCACCGCACGAATTGGCGCCTGCGATAATATGTCGGCAGTGAATGAAGGAAGATGACACTTCATGTCGTTTTGCATAGAATGTGTTTAATATTTAATTAATAGAAAATCCAATAGCGGGCTCCCTGTGCATGTACACCTCGCGTTTAGCTTGCTGCGTTTGGAGGATACGTTTGTTTGCTTGGTTTTCTCGCTGTGATTTGCGGAAACCAAGGGCACGTGACATCCCGCGGGGACACTGAAGCAATAGCTCTAATTGCAATCAACACGATACTGTCGTCTTCCGGTGGGGCATTGACGGCGTTTTTTATCCGTCGAACTTGGGGAACATGTTATGGTCATCACTCCAGTGTCCTTACTATGATCAATGGAGCATTGACTGGAGCGGTAAGATGATATTAGCGAATTATACGTTTTGTTCGGTTCTATTTTTCATGCGTATGGAAACCTCCCGACGGCAACGATAATGCTTTTGCACAGCGAAGAAATCATTGTCCAGCTAGACGAACGGTATTCCTGCAAACACAAGTTCTAAATTTCAAGTGTGCCTGTAGTATAATTTCAAGGGTTTTTTTTCACTCCAAACAAATAGTTCCATAACTTAGCTGCGTCCCCAACTAAACTAATCAGATTGAGAAAAATAAATATGCTGTGGCATGTTACGATAGGATTAAAGTGAAAAATGTGCCTTTTCATTTACTTTAACCGAATAGTTGACTATCTTGTTATATAACCGGTGGAGTTTCCAATCAATGAAAAACAGTACCACTTATAGGGCATGCACGTGATAGGAAAACATTTTAATAGTATAAAATTTTAGAGAATAAAAATTTTCAACAGTACAAAAACTTCTTCCCAATGTTGGCCTAAATGTTAATTCCAACTCATTGTGATAGAGCAAATTATTTCCCTGCAGTCATCGCTAAATTTACAATTCAATTCATTTAGTGCTCATTCAGTAATACATTTCATTTTAATTTCTAATTGTATCGTATTTAAATGCATATTTAAAACCAGCTACTCGTGATTGCCAATGGCCAGAAACATTTCTCGTCTTAGTTATGATAGGCTCGACCGCGGTGGACCCTATCTTTCATCAATTGATCCGTGCGTGTTTCTAGGTGTCTATTAGTGCCGGTGGCAACGAGATGCATCCGTATGCAGCTTTTATTGTCGGTTTCATTGCTTGGGCCACCTATATCGCCTGGGATATCGTACTTCTCCATTTAAAAATCGACGATCCAGTGACGGCAACTTCAGGTAATTCAAGTGTGGTTATTCAATCATATCATGAGGCAATGGCAATCTCATTTGAAATAATCACATGATGAAGCATAATTATTGAGAGTCGTTTTTGTGCTGGGCATACCAGGTTGCCATAGGGGGCGATCCGGAATACTTGAAATGAAAGTAGTTTCTATGAAAAAATGTTCATCATCCGAATTGGTTTTCGTTACGTTTTCCTGAAATTATTTTCATCAAAATACAAACCTGCTGGCGATTCAAAACAATAAGTTTATTCAATTCTTTCTTACCACAAAATTTTGACAAGTTTAAATATGACAGGTGGAAGATAATTAGGAGCATTTGTGGCACATGCACGAAAAATAATTGAGGTGTAATTTAATTGTTGCAAAAATTCCGAGATCTGACAATGGATTTCCATTTAAATGGGTAATCAATTTTCGCTTTATTTTTGAGGACCTTGGTCGCACTCGGATGAGCATTGTTAGATGCATAAATAAATCTCATTTCCACTTTTTATTTAATTCATATCCATAACCTATATGTGCTGATGTTGCTTCATGCACCAGCACCCTTGAATTTTAAGCGACTTCGAATTAAAGTCTTTAAATTTTTTCAGTTCATTTAGGTGGCGGAATGTGGGGGCTTCTTGCCGCGCCTCTGTTGGACAAAAATGATGGTATATTGTATGTTGGTGATAAGCTCAGTTTTAAATTACTCGGTTGGAATCTCCTTGGTGGTGTTGCGATAATTGTCTTGTCTGCGTTCTTCTCGGCAATACTTTTTCTAAGTCTCAGGTTCTTCAAGAAACTGAAAGTGACAGCTGAAGCTGAAGCGAAAGGTGATTTTCAAATCTGAAACAATTTATTGTAATATCACATACGCCTCGTAACAGTTTTACATACGCTGGCTGATTTTTACAAAAGACCATGCACCAATTATCAATACCCACTTTTCAAATTTTGCAAACGTTGCAAAAAAAATATGATGGTCAGTCTCGTTCCTACGGTTCTTCCTATTAAAAATCACAGGGCTAGGATATTCCTGATTGGAAGATTTGTGTTCTATCTTTCACAATTACGTATTCTGTTAAAAAATTGTTGCAATATTAAGTTTCATTTTTGTACACTATTTCGTCTTCAAGGTCTTGATATAAGCAAGCATGGAAAACCAGCCTATCCAATTGGAGCATATGCTGAAAGTTCATCATATCAATATCCGAAAACAGTGCTGGTAAATGAGAGGACCAACCCTGCATTTAGCAACATGGATGCTTCCATGTCTAGTCAACCAAGTGAATCAATGAATACTCGAGGCAGTACGTCAGCAATGTCTTGATATTCGAATACTTAAATTGTGTCGTACAATATTTGTATGAGTAGAATCGAGTTACTGAACCTGGATGAGCAGAACTTTGTGAGCCTTTGCTATAGTTTTACGTTTCAGTCGACTTTGTGAGTAGTATTTTATTCCATAATCACTAATTGTATAGTAAGAAGATGTTTTCTTTTATGTATAAAACCAGTAAATCGTCACTCCCAATGAATAGTCTCTGCAGTTAAAGCAGTAAATATAGCGTTTATGGCACGACCGGAGAGTTTAGATAGAAAGGTTTTAAAAACACGTAATTGAGGGCATATTTAGGGCATTAAATACGTTAAGTTAATAAAATATACATCTATGAATATTATTTGTATTTAAGTCGCAGGAATAAATCTTTTTGGACAAAATCGCACAAGATCGCGTGTTCTTCCTTATCATGGAAATTCCTTAAATTAAATATAATATTTGCCTGCGAATAGGAATTTTATGTCTGTCATCTTGTTTCATTATCATAATGGGCAACTCTGCCAAAGGGGTGGAGGAAATCTGCTCTGAAGAGATAAAACTTTAGCTGTAGGCCAATAATTTAACAGATGGAACAATTAGATTATTTTCAGGGTGCTGTCATAAGACACACTCATAAACATTTCTAGTTAGTCGCTTAAAGTCAGCTGGCGAAGCAAGTTAAAAACTATTCTGAAACAATTTCATACATCCCACCTCCTCCCCATGCCTGCATCCATGAACCTGGTTGTGCGGGTATTCGGGGCTAAAGGGGGGCGTTATTTGTAAATTTTACCCTCACCTTACTGGGCACGTATTGTATTTCACGTATTGTGAGCGCCATTGTACGGCTGCCATCTTAATAGCTCCACATATTTTCCAAGTTTTTACCGCTTTTGCGTCGTTTTTATAAATGATAAGTTGCTAAATCCACTTATATATTGCAAGGATCCCATATAATGCTGTATTACACAAGGAACTCGCTATTCAACATTGGAAAATTATGGAAACTACAAACTCGCTGTCAAGGCGAGATGTTATTGAACAAGCCGCTAAATAGATTGTCGTCTGTTGTGTGGAATGATCTCAAACGGATTGGCTTATTGAAACCATTCAGAGGAAATCGTGGTGGATGTGCAAGGGAATCTATTAAGAGTATCCAGGTTATTAAATCGAACCAATTTATAAGAATCAAAGTCGGAAGGAATCAGTGTTTTGCCAACTATGAGAACTTATTAAATATTCAAGCGGACACATTTGAGCAAACCACTGGCGTAGCCAGCATCGATAATTGGGGGGGTCCATATTCATATATTCATGTAAACAGACTGTAAAGACAATTGATTTGAAAAGAAATTAATCCTGCGTATCACGAATATATGAATATGGACCCCCCCAATTATCGTTCTGGCTACGCCGCTGGAGCAAACTAAAAGAATTAATCCATCAACTGAAACCGGAGAACAAAGTCAGACTTCATCCGTGGCATTTTACTACGTTCCCTCGATGTTGCTCTCAAACACGATGTCTCTTGCCCCAAAGATCGACGAGATTGCTTACTTCATGAAATTGAAAGACGTAGACATCGCACTTTTTACCGAAACATGGCTTAAAGATTCAATCCCAGATGAAGCTATTAATATTTCGGGCTATCGAGTAATGAGACGTGACCGCAAACACAAAAAATGTGGTGGAGTGTGTTTGTATGTAAAGAATGGCATTGTTTGCCACCCACTTCCAGATTTACAAAGTGAAGATCATGAAGTCCTGTGGACACTGTTACGACCTAAACGCCTTCCACGCGGTTTCTCAAATATTATCACAGCAATTATTTACCATCCTCCCGATGCCGATGAAAAATCTATGCATAACTATCTCCAATCCTCACTGGAAAAAGTGGAATCAACATATCCCAATAGTGCTGTGATTCTTGCGGGTGATTTTAACAGGTTTGATTTTAAATCATCCGCGAGAAAATTCCAGCTGAAAACCCATGTGGATTTTCCAACTCGAGGTCCTAACACCATTGATCAAATTTTTACCAACCTGAAGGAATTTTATTCGCATGCCACCTCCGCTCCGCCATTTGGCCTTTCGGATCACAGTGACGTTGTTTCCCAAGTCCCGCACGAAACAAGTAAAGCCCCAAACAAAAAGTATCAAACTAAGAGATAAAAGACCTAGTAAAGTAGCAAGTGTTGGGCGCTTTTTCATGGAAGTCCCTTGGTCCAATTTAATTTCCTCAGTTCAGTCCTCTGAAGAGAAGCTAAATTTGCTAACGCAGATTGTGAACTATGGCTTAGATACCATCATGCCCAAAAGGTGTATAAAAGTCCACATAAATGACCGTCCATGGATGAATAGTCAGCTAAAGTCCTTGATATCACGTAGACAACAAGCCCTTGCATCGGGTAAGAAATCTCTATTTAAACTTCTGAGGAATAAAGTAAACCGCCAAAGAAAATGTTGCCTACGAAAGTCGAAACCTCGCGACTGGTGGAAGGAGATAAAACAGCTCTGCCATCCAGCCAAAGCTAGTGGACATGACCTGAGATCTATCTTACACGCGGATTTAAAGCTCGAGGACAAAGAATTGTGCAACAAGATTAACGAAGCATTCATTAGTGTAATGGAAAATTACTCTCCTTTATCGGAGGACACTTGCGTAGATAACGAAAACGACGAACCGATATCTGTTACTGAAACATCTGTTGTGAAGAAGCTTAAAGAGATTAGCACATTTCGTGCTGGTGGCCCTGATGATTTGCCTAACTGGGTCCTGAAAGAGTTCTCTGACCTTCTCGCTCCGGCAGTTACTGATATCATTAACACCTCATTTCGAGAATGTAAAGTTCCTCCGGTGTGGAAACTTGCAAATGTTCCACCTGTTCCAAAGGCGCCTACCATATGTGACTTTAACAAGGATTTAAGGCCCATCTCCCTTACGTCAACCTTATCCAAGATCGCAGAGAGTATAGTCATCGAAAGAGAACTGAAACCAACTCTATTAAAATCGATTGACCCCCACCAGTTTGGTTTTCTTCCCGGCTCATCGACTACAATTGCCCTTATATCCATGCTTCATCATTGGCTACATGCTACAGACGGAACAAGCTCCACAGTAAGAGTTTCTTTACTTGATTATCGTAAGGCTTTCGATCTGGTGGACCATAATCTTCTGATTGCAAAGTTGTTAAGTCTTGGAGTCAAACCCACTGTTTTAAATTGGATAATTGACTTTCTAAGAGATAGATCCCAAAGAGTAAAGTTAGACCATAACTCCTTCTCTAATTGGCTAAACGTACCTGCTGGAGTACCGCAAGGCACCCGGTTAGGCCCTTGGTTGTTTTGGCAATGATTAATGACCTTGACTTGCCTGACGATCCATCAACTGGTATATGGAAGTTCGCCGATGATACTACAGTATCCGAAGTTGTTCCACAACATGAAGAAAGCAACCTATCGAGTATTATCAAACAGATATCTGATTGGTCCTGCGAAAATTCCTTCCAACTAAACCCGATCAAATGTAAGGAACTAGTCATCTCATTCAAGAAGGAATGTCCAACTTATGTTCCAATTGATGTGAATGATCGACGGTTCGATCTGGTTGCATCTGCTAAAGTGCTGGGAGTCACAATCAGGAACGATTTAAAATGGAACGATCACATTGACCAGATTACAACGAAAGCTTCTAAACGTCTATATCTTCTCCGCCAACTGAAACGAGCAAAAGTTGAAACTGCAGACCTAATACATTTTTACTGTTCGTGTATTAGGTCTGTTCTTGAATACGCGTGCGAATTATACCATAGCAGCCTCCCCAAGTATCTATCTGATGAGATCAAAAGAATCCAAAGAAGGGCATTGCAGATTATTTTCCCAAAAATCCCCTACAATTAAGGAATGTATGGCTAAAGCAAACCTCCAAACACTGTTTGAACGTAGAGAATCTTGTTCCCAAAAACTTTTTCAAGAGATTGTTGCTAACAGCTACCACAAGCTAGCTAACCTCCTTCCACCTCGGACTGGCACCGCCACAAGTCGTCTGCGAACAAAGAGAACATTCCACACATCACGAGCTCGTACCGATCGTTGTAAGAACTCCTTTATCACGTATTATGCAGCGAAACATTCCACCTAATTATTTTTCCATCATTATATATCTGGATTTTATTTGTATTTAAAATATCTTACAAACTTAGATTTTTAACTATAATTTATTGTAAATATCTTTCATGCAATTCAGTTTTGTAACTGCAATATGAAGATTTTTTAAATAAACTTTAAATATAAAACAATGTGATGAAAAATATGTAAAGTTATACAGTTAATCAGTTCTGTTAAAGTTAATAAATATTACGTCATTTTATTAATAAAATGGCTAGGGGTAATTGTAACCCCTAGCTCAAAATATCCCAAACTCGTGTTTGGTTTTTTTCAATCTTAATTAAGACCGAGGGAAAAAGCCCAGTAACGAGCTGCGGAAATGCAACATCCATGGGGCGACATGTGAGGAAATAATACAAAGATTACTCGCGCAAGATGACAGACATTAATAGGGAACGGGTGAGTATATCCTGGATCGCTCAGAAGACAACTTGCATTATAAAAAAATAGAAGTTGTTTACTACACTTCGACTTCACCCGGCCTCTTCCAATGTCAGATTAATTTGGAAGACGTTCATTTTATTTTTATTCCACATTGCTCGGCTTGTTTAAGGAACAAAGTTTTGGCGTAATTATACAGTTCAATATCTGCATTGTTAACCATTCTTAGTTTGGCCATGACACTATCACTAATTGGTTTCCTCTCGACACCGACTGTTACGAATTTCTTGCCTATTATCTTGTGATATTTTGAGATAAAGTTTGGCAAACGTTTGTGCAAAACAGCCGTGAACTCATTTAAATATTCTACTAAACCAATACTGCAGTAATAACGAAACATGTTGGCCTTCGCTTGCGACAAGGCTTGGCTGGTTCCGTTCTGACAAAACGTATCTGGTCCGCAAAAGAATCTGGTCATAGTGTTCCATTTACAACCTTCGTACTGATTTTCAATGCATTGTTCCAGGGTCACATTCCAATGACCCAAAGCTTTCAACTTACGAAGCTTTTCCCCCCAACGATTTGGGCTTCTTACATAATAATAATGAGATATGAAACGTTCTACGGGTTCACGAAGTAAATTTATATAGGTATGTTTCATTTTAAGGCCCGAGTTAATCCTGAAGTAAAAATGAGAGATTGCCAAGTGACGTCTGCGTTCTCGTAGATCCTGATACGCTTTGCTTTGAATGCGTTGCAGTATTGGATGAGATTTCCTTTGGTTAGACCATTCTTCCGTGGCTTCTAAGACAGAAAATATAAAAGTATTGATTGTGTCTACAGGCTTTCTGAGAATAAAGGAAACTTCGTTTACTCCGTTTTGCAGTAATAATCTGTCTTGCTAAGTCTGCCCCGAAGCTTTTTTTTAGGATTGTGGATCTTAATTCTAAACTAACTCGGACCGCCAATCATTTTGACAATTATATAATCACAAAGGACGACAGAAAAATTCATGATCAGGCTGCGTGGAAATGGAATAAAATCCCACGTACGACTGCAAAAAATGAGAGATTTATAAAACATCTATTTCTTTGCTAAAATTTTGATATTATCATTTCTCTACATTTACGGGTGTAATTTCGCGATAGGCAATAAAATTATAGGCAATAGCCAATGTGCTTTATACTTTTTATATATTCTCGTACCTTCAAATACGATTAAGAAAGGTAAGTTTATAGGTAAGTTTCTACTTATACTCAGTATTAAAAGATTCTCACCTTTCAATATTCCATAATTAAGGCTCTTACTACAATTTTCAAGAAACGAGGTCATAGTTGTACTTGCTGTTTTAAATATCCTGTTGTAAAGTACCACCTGGGGGTATAATGGTTCACAGCTGTGGTCAGAGACATTAATCAAATATTTACTAGCAATTGTTTTGTTCCAAAACTGAGTAGAACTCCGATTTCTCTTCGGTAACCTATAATAAAAAAAATTTGAATTCGAACTTAAATTAATTTTCTTTCTTTCTATAGAGTTTCTTCATTCTGCTTTTAAAACTAAAAGTACTGTTATTGTGTCATAATCAAGGTCGCTGGTGTAAAGTATACCCATTTGCCCGAGTGGCAGGAAAACTACGAAAAATGCCTCACTTGATACGAAACGTCCAACTAAAAACTGAAAAATAAACTCAAACTGAAAATGTTATGCAGTGGGCAACACCGGTACAAAATAGACTAATAGCTAAATAAATAAATCATTTCCTTTTTACTCTGCCTATAAGTTTGCTATGAAGTTTACAAATTGAGAAGCGAATAGCTTGGCCTTGTTTCCCGAGGCTCTACCGTCCAGCACGCCCACGAGTATACCTTTCGAATATGCAAATTTTATTCGCTCAGTTGTTTGTCTCATGCAGCTAAGCTAAGCACTTTGAGTACAAATATTGGACGAACTATAGACCGTAGTTCGTAACCGTTGCTCCTTGTGTCATCTTAAACTCCCTATGTTGAGAGAAAAGACACGTCGCTTTACGCTGATTGAAGCGTTTGGCTGTGTATCCGTGAAAGCCAGATCGATTTCAACTATACCAACTAGCTACCAACCAAGCTATTAATATATAATTATGTAAGCTGCTTTACTGTATACTTATTTATATATTGATTTCCTATTTACCGGTACTTGCGTCTTTTGATCTTAACAATATTTTGAATTTCGAGGACATCGATATTTTTAGTTTTTCCCAGTGACTTTGAATCCTCGAAATTTTGGAACGATATTTGCTTATTGATTACGATCCCCTTCGGTTCATATGTTGTGGCTGATGTGACCGATTTCGTTTCTCGGAACCGTTGGCTTTCGGATAAAAGTGATTCCTCAATATAATCCCAAGGAAAATGGACTAAAAACGAGATAATAGAAACTTTAGCTACCGCACTTTTGCATTTTTGGATAAGTTGTAATCCTGATAAGTTGATATAAATATATTTAACTTTCCATTCGTTAACACCATGGAAACACACACATAGCGTAGCCAGCAATTTGTCCCGCCATGTAAATTTCCAGTTATTATAATTATTCATATCTTTATCAGCCTCGTACCCAGGCGCTTTGTTGGAAAACATAAAGGCTGCATTCAGCGTAATATAGAGATCTGTGGCTGAGATATGCGAGCGCGCAGGGGTGCTTGGGGAGGACGCGGCCTTGCTCTCCCGTCGCGTCCTCCCAAGCACCCATGCGCGCTCGCACATATCTCAACCATAGATCTCTATATTACGCTGAATGCAGACTTTATGTTTTCTAATAAAGCGCCTGGGTACGAGGCTGTATCTTTATTATTTTATTGTCTAATTTATTGTTTTTACTGGCAATGAACATAAAAATATTAGCGTGTAACGGGGAAAATTGTGAGGCTAGCTACGCAACTGAGCACACAAGTGCATCAGAAGTTTTTTTGTAACTTTTTAGACGAGGTAATGTGCGCCTTTTTAACAATTCCAGACAAATCCAGTGGACGCAAAAAGTCATCGGTTGTGAAATGTTCTGAGCAAACAAATGGCTTTGTGGAGAGGGCTCAGTGATTGGATTTGCCAACGTTGCAAAGTCTACCTAGTTCTTCATGCATTAAATGGCTTGGACTGCAAATCAAAGTTAGGTATTGAATGTAAATTTGTTTTATTAAGTTTTTTGATATCGATATTGAGTTATTCTCAGGTGTGTTGGAACAACCGTATGCGACACATCGAACGTGGATTTCGTAGCAATTTTATTTCACAGGCTGCGCATACAGGGGCGTAATTATACTAGAACGATAATTGCGAGGTGTTATATATTCAGTTTTGTCCGACGGTTTTCTATTTAACCATTAACTATTGAACTTACAAAATCCGTCTTACTGAACTGAATAATAAAGAAACACCCCAAACAATTGTCGTTCTAGTCACGTCATTGTGCGCATACTATTTCAGAACTTCGTTTTTTGGTATGTTCAATTTGAAGTATCTCTAAAAGAATCCAGCCAACAGTTGAGGAAACAGTTTTCGGAAATTTTAACAATAATTTTATATAAACCTTTGACAGATTACTTCGCAATGCAAACGCAAAAGTTGGACAAATGTAGCCGGCGTACAATAATTTATTGGATGTGATATAAACTGACATTGCTATCGTAAGTCATTTAAATTTGAAACGAACGCTTCGTTTGTTGTCATGTCTCTAATTTTTTAAATCATATAAGTAATAGAAAATTTACCAAACTAAACACTTTTTCCTCTAGAATTATTATAAACAAACATGTAGATAACGCGTGTGTTCTGATTAGTCGAAGCCCGTGTGTCAGTGCGTGTTCTGATTGCATTCGCGCGCTTTCGTAAATTCCCGCGTGTTTTGCATGTATCAGCCCATCCAAATACGAAAATATTAGGTAATTGTTTACTAACCAACAGTCTTGGAATGATCGATTCTTCATCTTTGCAATTTTTTGGAAATAATTGTCTTTGAAAGTGTACGATAATTGATTGGACCCCCGTTACTTACGTTAACAACATTGTTTCCTATTGGTCTACCTCCTCAGCAGGCCTTTTTCGGGCAAATATGCCACGGCGGTGATATTTTGCGGGTAGCCTATTAGCTGAGACTGCCAAACTCGTTTGTCACCGTAAAATCTCGGGATCGCATCGGTTGAACGCCAATGTGATATATTCATAAACGAAAATAAGTTTGGAGTTCTTTTTTGCATAAGTTTTTTCAACGCAAGTTGAAGCTTAATATATCCTAATCTTAAAAAGCCTAATTTACACTGATCGACTAATTATGTACCTTATCTACATCCAAAAGCAAGTTCATTTGACATTATGTAGACCCTAAAATTCTGCCTAAAATTTTCGGCAAACTGTGAAACAGCATTTTGTGTTATAATTTTTTTCTGACTATTTCATATAATGTTGGATGCATATAAAAATTATTAGTTTTAGGTTCAAGTATATGGGGTGTGTTGTTTGCTGTCCATGCATGCTATAAACCTAAGAAAAAATACCATAAATATAAAGAAAATAAATCTGTGCTCGACTATTATTTTTTAACGGGCATCCAAAGCACGTACATCGTCCCATTTGCAATCATTATACATCTATATAGCCAATCACAACGAAGAACTTGTATGTTTAGACATTTACATAACTGAATGTAACGTCGCATACGTCCTTGGTGCATGTCAACTAATAAACGCGCGACTCTTGGATTACAAACTGATTTATAGAGCATGATTCAAACCGAAACCCTTGCTCTATAATTACCGAAATTGCGTTACCAGTGTATAATCAGAACAGTGTTGAATACTTATCTTACAGTAGAACATTATTCCCAACATTGATAACATGAATATGCCGGCCAAATGGCACTTTCTTGGCCTGAACATCGTGGGTGGTTATTCTGAAAAACAAAAAACGCCGACTTAACCTTGGCGTTAACCTTGGGCCGTTGTAGTGCTGCTGGGCTAATAGAAAACAAATCGAGAACGATATAATTATTGATGCCTAAGATCTAAAATCCTCTAAATGACTTTCGGTCGCAAAGTCCACTTCGACAATCGACATTATATGTTATAAATTTTCGAGGCACTTTCATACGCCCGGTTCGAAACGGCCGTAGGAACATTGGCGGCCCAAAAATGTTGTGAAGTCTTATTAAGAATTGTTATTATACAAACTAAATCTTGTCAATTTATCCAAAAATGATAAATTGGAAAGCAAGAATAATTGAACTCGGCGAATTTTGGATAAGATGTGAGCAATGGATGATATGAGAAATCCCAATTGCAAACAGAGAGACTCGTTGGAAAAACCTCGATGGCGACACCATCCAAGATGGCGCCCATGACGTCAACGCGCAGCACAACTAATTTGCAATGGAAAGAGACCGCGCTTGTTTGAATTTATAATCAGTTGGAGCAACGTGCGGCACTCGCTTTAATACGATTTAGCTTACGACGACAATATCATTATAACTTCACTTTACATGTCACGAAGAAGATGGATTAGCTATAAGCGTAAATTCTAAATAATGTTATAGATGTGTAAGAATTGCCATATGGCCCTCCCTCGTAGCCTAAACGAAGAAGCGAAAGGAAGGTACAGTAGAAATTATTTGTCGATAAGCAGATATAATATTTCATGCATTCCTTAATAAACCTTCTGATTTGCTCGTTTCTAATTCGAGCCCAATCACCTAGGGTTGGTTACATGAAAGCTGGATAGCGCTCTATCTATCAGATAGTGGATTTTCAATCGCTCTAAAATAAGTTTGATTAAACCTAATCTTGGCTCTAATCCAAACTCTAACTCTAACCCTAAACCTACACAGCTTAAAATAAAGAGATGCTGATGTTCAGTAGGTGTAAATAGTTTCGAGAGGATATAAATCAGTGCAGCCAATAAATATGATACTAGATAATTTTATGACTGCATGCATGGAGGCTTCTATAAGTATAACAATATAAGCAATGAGCCATCTTCGTTCCGGTAAGTGAACAACACTTCGTAATGTCTGAGTCTGACAATTTGCAATAATATGCATTCTTTGGAGATACTTAGTTGCTCACTTTAAAAGGTCATGAAAGCAAGAAGGACACTAAAATTCAGCATATCTTTCAACAAACGAATTATTGATTGAAAATTTATGAATTATTATCCATCTATCATTTTGTGAAGTATACTGTATGCAACATTATCATGAAGATACATATAATTTGCATTTCAAATCGGTATGTAAGTAAATAAGCAAATTGTTATGTTGATAAATGCCTAATAATCTCCACATGTAGTTATACTTCAAGGACGGTTGTACAAAAGCTAGATATAGCACTGATTTTTCAATCGTATTAATACAGCTACGAAGCAAACTCTTATTGAAGAGGAATCTTGACTTGGGAATATTAATATATGGGTAAACTGGGGTATACTAAACCTCATTTAAGTATAAGTATAATATTCTTTAAGGCTGTTTGATATATTACTAAGTAAACGGGTATAATTCCTCACGAAGCGACACTGCGACAGCATTCTGCTTAATTATTTATTCAAACCGTAACCAACCGAGATATTTGCATAATCAACAAAGATCAACAATATAATTTTTTATTGCACTTACTTGTATATATTATACTAATTTATAAAATTGACAACTATACATGCATAGGTGTTGGCCGAAATGGTATAGTAGTAATAATTGCTTTCAATCTTCAATCAATCTCTGTTGAACAAATCGCCAGAGTTTACTTTACGGTTACTCATAATATTTTCAATTCATACTGTAGCTATATATTATTTTATTGTCATGGGTACTGAGAAAGCAGAATTTGCTTCTTACAGGGGTGTTAAGCATTTGCACCAGCTCAATGAATGAATGAAAGTTCTCCCTATAAAAAATAAAACTCAACCTAAGGCTAAGCATTCAATATTTGATTTGTCATTGTTATTTTGGAACTTAGAACCGATGACTCACAAAATAAGACACAATCTACTTGCATCAAAGGCAATTTTTTTACGTAATTTCAGTATTTGAATATATAGAGCATAATAATAAAATGATAATACTAATTTTGTATGATATGCATAACAGAAATCTACTTTAATATCAAATGTAACACCAAGTGTAAAACCTTGACGGCAACTATAGTAATTTATTCCACTTGTTTCCAAGTTTTTATTCCGTAATGAAACATCCAAACATCCTAAAGCTACCGACTTTTTTAACTCTAATGCGTTTCAGAATTATAAAAAAATAATATATGACTTATTGCAAATTTACAAAAAGATATAAGTAATAAATCAGTGTGTACTGAGTGTACTGCATGCATTGTTCTTTCGCAAGTCTATTTTGTAAAACATTACCATAAAATACCTGTTATTATGATTCAGCGACATAAATATTACACTAAACACAGGCTAAAACTAATCAGTCGCTATATAGCCTAGTAAAGTCGTCGTATAATCGGGAGTAGTGCATGGCAATTGATTACTGGTTTGACAGATCTAGTATATTTATCTGATATTCTGTGTACATCAATTGGCAATCGAGCCAAAGTTAAAAGTTTTGAAAACGTCCTCAGATTTGAAATTAAAATAAGGATCGAGAATTCGTTGAAATAACCTTACCTTCAGATCATCAGTGACTAGGGCACATAATTTCATTGAAAAGCTCAATTTAAACTTTAAAATTGACAAAAAAGTACGCTTTCATTTCAGAAATTTCACATGTAGCTAATTGATAAATATGTTGAACCGAAGACAGTATTGTTGCTCGATTGAATGTGGCGCTATTGTCGTATGCGTGTTATCAACAGGTGCTATTTATATAGCATGTAAAGACCAATTTAATTGCTCGATTTTTCGTATACGATTCTAAGATGGCATTTGTAGGTGGTAATTGATACTTAAACTCTTAAAGATATTTTTCTATGCCAGAAAATATCGACTTCATTAATGGGTAGTTCGTGTAGACGTCATGCATCTGTTTTGTATAAATACAGGGTGGGGACGCGAACTACGAGAAATTCGGCTCTTTTGCACTATTTTTACTGCATCAATAATTTCCCAATTCCTGCATGCACTTTCTAAACGCGCGATTCTGTTTCGTTTGACATATTCGTCTATATAATAATTAAAAAAAACTTTCACGCTTAGATGAATATTAACATACTCCTTATCACCTATATCACCATACTGCTTACTATTTTTATTCTTTTTTTCCTTTTTTTATATATATACATATTAATATACCTTTGACTTTGTATCTTTTTATTATAAAAAAATAACATTCGAACTGACATTATATTTAAAATCAGTAACTATTTTAGTTCAGTAAATTAGGGGCCTAAAATAAAAGCCATATGGTTTCTGGTAGGCTCCTAGCCCAAATTTGTAAATAAAAAAATTTTATATCATCTTTATATCATGTAGATATTGGGCGCACTTATTATATATATATATATATATATATATTATAATATATATATATATATATAATATATTATATATATATATAATATATATATATATATATATATATATATATATATATACATACATAGTTCGATCATCTAGATGGTTTGTTGTCTGTCAGACATATCATTCGTCAAGACCGATAATCTGTCTGTATAATATGAATCTGGTCATTGATCATCGAGATACTGACAAATGATCGTATAGAACAGTAAACATCGTCGATGGATCACGAGAAATGAAAATTAGGCTTTAACCTGGCCAATACATGTGCATTTGCGTATAAACAGAATACAGAGTATTTGCATACTATTAGGGTTCCATCATCAATGAAATTAGAAAGATTTTAGGGAAGGCACTTGTTTCAATTCGTCAGAAATCGCACGCAACAACACCATGGTGTAAATTTGCAAGGCGGGATTATCGCCCTCTTTATATTAGGCCCTATTAATTTTGGCCTTCACATTAGGAGGGATAGGATGGCGTTTTGGGCCCAGTCCAAGCGGTCCACGCCTGTTTACGAGCAATCCATCAGGCCCAATAAGACGTTTAAATTGCCTCTATTCAGTAACACATATCATACAATCAATAAAATTTTGAAATTTTCTACTTATCTGTAGGGGCTATAAAAATATGTCGAGTGTAGGAATTAGTTTTCTTTGTTCAAGGGCCGTTCAGCAGAAACCTCAAGATGAGTTTGAAATCTAGTATGTCGTACGTCTCATTATCTTGTAGTTGTAATTGCGGCAGACAGACCTTCGTACATACTACGTAGGTGCCGGAATTTTACTTTATGTGCCGACAATGTAAAACACGGTTGAATAAAAGCATATAGTTAATATTATATATACCTGTTATAATAACCATGATAAAAGGTGTAAAGCTGATAATGGCCCGATTTATGTCGACATATTTATTCGTGTGACAGATTATTCGCCTAAGTATAAACAAACGACAAACTATCTGAGAGACGATAGTTCGAATAAGTCAGACGAAACAGCATCGCGCGTTTAGAGAGTGCACGGGGATTTGGAAATTGTTCATGAGGTAAGAAGAGTGCACAAAGGCGGTTTTATCGATTTATCGTGGTTCTCTGTTTCCCCACACACCCCGTATTTGTATATTAAAAGACGGGTGATGCGTCATAACGAACTATTCAAATTCTTCTAAATAGACGAACTATGGGGATAATTCCTGTTGACGGATGATCCGTCTGTTTGCCCGTGTTTACAGAAGAAATAGCAGACGTATTATCTTCGCTTCCCCAAGTTCGTCCATACGTGTGATCCGTCTCTAGTATAAATCGGGACAAACAATGCAAGTATTATGAATATTTGGGGGGGGGAGGCCACATTCAGCGGAACAACTTTAACGCATTGTATTTGGTAACTTAACACCAAGTATTGGATGGAATGGAAACATGGCCATCTCGATCGAGTGTCTTATGAACTATTGAACTATGTCTCATAGTAAAATAATATATCAATCCTTTGGGAAAGCATTCTTTTAGTTATGTAAATTACAACGTTATCGTCGCTGTGTACAGCGTGATTGTACGTTTGCGTGATTGTACGTCTGCCTGATATGTTGTCTGCCTGATATGGCCGCATGCATGACATTCAGACTCTGATATATATTGCCGAATGCTTAAGTTCTTAGCCGTGTCGTTTACAATAATCATGAATGTTTCTCGATTTGTATAGGTTTTACTACGCTCAGACGATGAAATATTGTTTCTTTTACATCATTGGTTTATCGCTGATCATGTCGGTGCTATTCTTGATGCTATGTGTATATTCAAGTAAGTAAAAAATCGCGCTACTATATTCCATACTATATTTAAAACGTATAAACACTCACGTTATGGATGATACCACAATAATTACCAGCTGCGGCCTGCGTGGTCTATTAATAATAATCAAGGTTTGGTTTTCCCCATCCTGACGAAGCGAAGTTGTCAAGTATTTAAAAGTGTTTAATTTTTGCGATGAAAAGAGTCTTAAGAAATATTTAGTGTGAATTATTTGGACCCGCTCACCATTGCCGGTTTAGTCTGATTCCGTCGCCACAGTAGATGCCGTTGGATTACGTCCGCTCAGCTATAGGAGCCCCATTCGCGCTATAATTTACGCATTTAGACAACGTTCACACGGGGCAGGACGAATTTGGGCATACTCCGCGTACTCCAGTTTGTCAGATTTCCTCGTGTGCATGCCAGTGAACTCTCTATATACGGAAGGCTCGCTCTAGTATATTGCATAATCTAAAAGTGAAGCCAAACATGGCGGATCATGAAGGCTGCTTGGGTACCGAACCAGACCTCCACGCACGAGCGGTTAAAATTTAATATGGCGGCAACGTGTAGGAGTTGAACTCGGTCAGTTTTGCAAATACAACAAAAATATACAGCATAAGTTACCTCTCCAGAAAGAGTAACATTGCCAGGTAAGGTTTCAACAAATTGTATGTATTCATTCTTAAAAACTTTGTTTTTAAAAACTTTGTAACGTCCGAAATGTTAGCTTTTTTATTTTTCGTCATATGGTTTTATAATTTTATAATTTCCACATGCGTGATTCGCGCATTACGCTTCGTGGAGGATTGGTTCGGTACCCAAGCAGCCTTCATGATCCGCCATGTTTGGCTTCACACTTTGAACTGGAGCGAGCCTTCCATATATATAGAGTTCTCTAGTGCATGCTAGAACACATAAAACCAGTCCATATTTACCGTGTGAACACCTGAATCGAACGAATTCGAGCACGGCTCTAAATTCGTCGGTGATAATAATTTCAGTGATTTCCTGAGTTCAGTAGGATTATATTGTAGGTTAAGATGAAAAAATGACAAAATAAACAACTTCAACGCGTCGTTTATTACTTCAATAAGTCGCCATTTCAATACATAGATATTGCCCAATATTGCAAGTGAAACGCATGACATATATGACTTATATTAAAACTGAGCTGTTTATGCAAAACTTTAGGGAAGTCAATCGCAGCATCATCCATAATTTATATTCATATTTATTATATGGCACGCGGTCTCGTGACTAAAATGGCGTGCGCTGATTGGTTTCTTGCCGGTCTGGAATCTCCCAGTATTGAACCGTTGCCGTAGTAACGGTCCAATTCTCATATTTCTGAACAAAAACAAGCTTGCACTTTTATTTTTGACACGAAAAATATCGACGGAGAATGGACGAAGAAGAGTATTATTTGGTACATGTGAATATTATATTTATTCATCTTTGATTTTTGTTTATATTACTGTATCATTCTTATTTAACGAGTAAAAAGCAAAGTTTGGAAGCAACTTCAGTGCTTGCTTGGCGACTGGCTGGCGAAAGAGCCGGCAAGAATGCTGCAGCGCATTGTATAAATAAATAAACTAAATATTGTATGCCATAAAATAAATCCCTTATTAACCGAATACGTTCGGTCCGTACTGGAAAAATATCAGACCTCGGTCTTTTATGTACGGACCTCGCTATCGCTCGGTCCGTACTGTCAAGACCTCGGTCTGATATTTTTCTAGTACGGACCTCAAATTCGGTTAATAAGTGGTATATATTATTTTTTACCTTTAGGTCAATGTTCATGGAAACAAATTAAAGAACTATCCGTACAGCGTGGTTATTTTATTACTTCAAAGAACTATACGTAAGTCAGGTTATTTTCACGAGATGTTCCGTATTAACAATCTGAATTCTCTACTATCTGAATTCTAACCCGAATCATAAACACGCAGAGCATAAACCAAACGCTAATCTCATAACTATATTTCAACGCTAATTATTTGACGTCATTTCTGGAAATTTATGTGGAAAAAGCCAATTTTCTTACATTAAGTATAATTATATAGATATTTTTATTATATGGATCGTGGCATTTAATTTACTGAGAATCAAAACTCTCCTAGAACTCATGCGCCACTACATCCGGGGTACAGTGCGCCTATTTTCCGTATGTCACATATGGGGGTGACATAACCGTATTTATTTATATTAGAGGACAGCTTAGAGGTCAGAACGAATTAATTTGTGGTAAATTGCGGCTAGTATAAATACTGGATGAACATAATAAACACGCCAAAATTGGGCGGCCCAAGCCACATAATCGCCTGGATGCCCGCCTTACTGCAAAAATGCGTCCATTTTCAATAGTCTCTTATTCATGTTAATTACACGAATTTAAAGCGCCTATATCACTTGTGGGATCTTTACGGATCTGCAAACTTATAACTTCTATTACCATTCTTGATGTAGTCAAATAGTTTCGGAAATATTTACATCTAAACATAGCGATTTGCAAAAATTTCCATCGTCCTCGGGGGCCTGGGACTCAGGAAACGTGTTTCGCGGTTTTCCAATAACGAAGATTTTGTAAGAAAACACGTTATGCCAAGCTCAGCATCGAATTCTTTTGACGGCGAAGGCTCCTACGATTGCCCTGGTTATGAAATGGACCTCATCTCGTTTGAGTTTTGGGGTTTTGTATTTTTTCACAATCTCTGAACCGTGTTCAAAGCAGTCTTCAGTGAAGTGTTCAGAGCAAACCACTGAACCAAAACTTGGCGTGCATTGAGCTTTTTTGCGCTTAATAAAAGCCAACCATTTCTTTCGCCTGCTCTTCGCCAATCGTCGATCATTCTCCCAATACGGTATGCGATGTAAAGATTATACCCTTTACCGAATTCGCCGTGTTGCTAGCTACAGCCGTATATATACAACGCAACGTTCCGGCATTTTTTGAAGAGCGCAAAATATTTATCACAAGTAAAATTCTATAATATGTTTACATTGCAAAAGACGGTGTGTTTGCAAATCGTTCCTGAGTCCCACTTTCCCTAACACGACGGACTTTTTTTCAATAAAATGCAAAATCGCAATGCAAAATGCAATGGTGTTTTGTGTTTCACTGTAAGCGTTTAACCTTCAAAAGTTACATGGAATACAGCATATGTAACTCATTTCAGCAAATATATATATATATATATATATATATATATATATATATATATATATATATATATATATATATTTAACCATCCATTACTAATCTAATGTACCTTTTAGCCTGTCCTCCCGATGCACGGCTCCCCCCCCCCCGCCTTTTTATGGTCTGACTGCGTCCCTGCAACAATATCATGCAAGACATGTATAGTATCTAATTATTTAAATGTTTGTTTAATGAAATTTTCTGTTGTCTCGAGGCTTAAACTGTCGAATTCCTGAAATCAACCTGAAAACCAATTCCTTGAATTAAAATGAAATAATGTATTATAATAGAAATGAACAATCGTCTCGTTTTCTTTAGATCCGTCTCACGATCACGGGAATTTGGAGATTTGACAACGCAAAGCTGTGAACCATTACATCCACGGGTGGTATTTTATAACAGGATATTCAAATCTGCCAGTTCAACAATGTCCAGTTTCTTCAAAAAATGCAGTAAACGACTTGGCTATATATTTACCAAAGGTACTTTATAGCTGCAGTTATAATATAGGCAAATGCTATTAAATTTTTCAGCCTAAATTTAAATTTTACAATATTTTACGATATTTTACAAATATAGAGCTAGGTTGACAAGGCTTATTGCAGTAGTCAACAGTAAATCTTGCGAAAATCCTCGCCACTGTATATCTGCCGCGTGCGATAAGGTCTATTATGCCCGCTAACTCTCTCTTAAGATCATTTTCGTATTTTTGGGTTAACAATAATATGGCATATTAATTAGTTACTCTCAAAAGGGAGCACATCTAATGGGTGATCTTACAATAAACATACTTGCAGCCTGGGAGGTGAGTCCGTGATTAACCCATGCACCGAGGGCGGCTGAAGGTTTTCCGAACTGGAAGGTTCATGTCTTTTCGGGAAAATGTGTTCTAAAAGTTACGCATTGGGTTCGGCAGGTGGGTTCGAGTTTGAACACGCCTGGTCTTAGCCAATAGAAACACAGCTTTTACACTGGGTATGAGATAAAATAGAAGTGATATTTGCTGTGAAAAGTGGGGATTGTATCCGTGATGATTGGTTGAATGCAAATCAGTTTATGATTGACCGGCGGGAACAAAACGACAGAATTTTTTTCAAATTTTGCTTTTGCAACGCACTGGGATTATGCAACAAGGCAATTTTTTCCCTTAGAACAAAATTGTAAAATTAAAAAAATTCGGGAAATAAACTTTCTTTTCACGGTGTGCGGCGAAAAGTAAAAAGCGCCCAAAGTAAACGTCAAAAAAGGACAGAGAAGGTTTCGTTGTTCTACAAGAGAAGACATAGGAAGAAAAAAACCCTTTTCATTGCTATATACAAAAGAAAGTAAGTAAAAGTATATAACTTTGCAGTATAACGTCCTGATTTTAGTACAGCACATATCAAAATATCTCAAAAGATTTATTTTAATGATTACATTACATTAACGATTTTTCTCTCGACAGATTCCAAAGAATGAAACAGGCAGATAATTGGATACCTGTTTCCGGAATTCAAAAATCAACAAAGTTGGACGAAAGCTTTTTGTAATCATGACCAGGAAGGTAAAGCCTTGTTCTCGCTGAGGGCTTATCGCGATAAAAGCAATAGCGATGAATTGTGATCGCGGAAATCGGAAATGATGAGTGCGAGGTTGAAATACGATCTCAAAAGGATGATATATATGTATAGTATTGTGTAGCTATATTTGGACTTCCTGAAGTTTACAGATGTTTTAATGGACTAGTTGTGGAGGCTCTTTTCATTTGCCTAAGCCATTTTGCCTATTCGTGCAGATACGCAAACCTTGTACCTAAATTCGGACGACCGGTAGCACAACTCTGCATGAGAGCTAAGATGATGATTGACTATATGATATGTATAGTTAGTTACCTTCTTCTAAAATTGGATCAACCCTGGCTATCTCCTGCAAATCTGCAAATGTATGCGGCAATCATTCATGAAAAAGGGGCTGCTCTTAATAACTGCAAGGCTTTACTGACGGACCGTCAGGCCTATTTGCAGACCAAAGGGGGATCAGAGATGGGTTTATAATGGCCATAAAAAGGTACGCGCTCTCAAGTTTCAGTCTGTCGTGGCACCTAATGGTATGATCGCAAACCTGTATGGCCCTTTAGAAGGACGACGACATGACAGCAGAATGCCAACTGGCCAAGATTTATGCCTGTATGGGGATGATCCATCCTATCCACATCGCCTACATTTGTAAATTGTAAGTTGTACATTTGTGCCTATATGCAAGACGTGCGGGGATCGCTTTGAAAGACGAGGGCTTCAATCAATCTATGAGCTAAGCTCGAGTATCCGTTGAATGGGTCTTTGGTGGCATGGCCAACTATTTCAAATTTATTGACTTTAGGAAGAACATTAAAATTGGACTTTACAGTGCCCTGTTGAGGAATGCACTTACTTGCCTTTATGGCAACACAACATCGTCATTCTTTTCACTTACAACCACCAGGTCTGAATGAATATAATGTATAGTGTCTGCAGAATATGTAAAAGTCAGAAATTCGGCTAGGGATTTGGGAAGTTATCTAAAGCAAATTTTATCATCAATTAATAATGTGAATTGAATAAATGAATCAATTAAATTATTTAACAAAAACGTTGTAATAAGTAACTATTAAAAAATAACTAACAATTAAAACCAATTATTAACTGTCAAAAATTTCTAACAACATATGAACGTTTTAGGAAAATAAGTTTAATATAATATTCATACCATGTCATAATTCTTATTACTGTATGTGCTTTTGCTACAAGGGTTACCAACAGTTTATTTTGCTGCTGCAACATAGCTATCAGAACGATAATTTGTTTCTAGCTCCTGCTTCTTCTTTTCTAATCCCAATCTCTTTCTCTTTCAAATTTTGTCCTTTATGCTTCAATTTCTATTGTTTTTCTGTTTCTTTCCCTCTGAGTGCGAACTCTTTCCTTTTTAACTGAATTTCTTCTTTCCTTATTGATAGATCTTGATAATTTTTATCCCAAAGATATTCAATTGTGTCACCTGAAGCTCTTTCTTTCTTTTCAAACGGACACTTTCTTGGTCAGATTCCTTTTCCATGGTCTGTGAAAGTCTCTTAGTTTTTCTCACGCTCTCAGCAATTGCTCTTTCTATCTCAGTATTCATTTCCTTAATATCTTCCCGTTTAGCAAGCTCTTCTTCTGCTTCTGTGATTCTTTCTATGATATCCTCCATTGCATCAACGAACTCATGTATTCTCAGGACTTATTCCACTTGCCCTTTCCTCTGCTGCTATTTTTCTTTTGTGATCTCTAATAAGTTTTGTGACATGCTCGCGCACTGCTCTTTGATCAACTGTAAACCGCAGCTTTGTGATTTAGTTGTATCAATTTGCAATCTTCTTCCAACATTGGGTAGGTGTATGTTTTATAACGGCTGTTCTCTGGTTAGGTATAGGTTTGCCCGGGGTTTTTCAAGCGCAGCTTATAGTTGCACTACAAGAGAAACCTTCCTGTGTGTTTCCGGAATATAAATAATTTCTTAGCTGAAATTGGAATTGACGTTGTGCATGTAGCTAGTGCATTATTTTGAACCTAAGTAATTTTTATACGCATGCAAGTAATGCATAATTTTTGTGTCTGTTTCTTCTGATTTTTAGATTTCACTGAAGAATGGGAGAATGAAAATATCTCACACCCAATACTAACACGTATTCAAGCACAAATTGCTCGGAGCAAAAAGCTAAATAAAAAACTTATGGCAGTTGCTCATCTGTATTTCAGAGAAGATATCGATTCAGCTTACATTAATTTGTTACGAGAACCTGTCGCTCGTTTTATATCGCATTATTATTACTGCAGAAGTCCAAACCGGTATGCTCACAAGTTGAAAAGGTTAAAAGAATTAGGCCATTTTAATGTCACCATTGAAAAATGTCTAGAAAAACAATACGAAGGATGCGTATGGAATCATATGACAAGATTCTTCTGCGGACCCCAAGCATTTTGCAAAAGTGGAAGTGACGAAGCTTTAGCGGCAGCTAAACACAATATGCTTCACTACTATGCAAGTGTGGGGATTATGGAATACATTAATGAGTTCGTTATGGTTTTGCATAAACGATTGCCCGATTTTGTACTTCCGCCCCCTAGGGATGGAATGCGGAAAAAGAAAGTAACAAAGGGAGTAACAAAAAATGGAATAAGTGAATCCACAAGGAGCATGATTATAAATGCCAACAGAGCTGATATTCAGTTGTACGAATTTGCGAAAGATTTACTTTTTAAACAAGCGTTGAATTGTGGAATCAAAATTGTTACATGATGTGTTTTTTGTATTTGTAAATAAATAAATATTTTTTCGCCCTATTGAGAAAATTCAAATGAAACGGCTTGATCAAGTAAATTGAAGCTTAAAGGAGGCCGCAATTTAATCTCGCAGCGTCCTTCGCATGTGTATTTTGTTTCTAAAAATATTTATGTTATTCAGCCCGAAATGTGCCCGCTTTTATAACCGAAGACATGTTTTTTTGTCATCCGGACCAAAGTTACCGTTCAATAACGTGTCTATATTTTAACCTCGAGTTTTTTCACTTTTTTGAAGACAACAAATTGAACAAAATACGCCAAAAAAGTACAAATTCTAACGATTATACCACACAGATGCTTACGTCATCTTAGAATTTTAATAAATTATCTTGGTGGTCCACTAGAAATTTTTGAGTGGAAAATGACATGTAGGAATCTTAAATCACTATAGTTACTCTGACCAAATCCACGTAATGGTGGAAAGTAGATCATTTTTGTGAACACGAAAACAAACTAGGTTTTAACTGAAGAACGACGGAATAAGTTTTATTTGGTTCTAAATAATTTTGCTTCGGATCGGAGCTGAATTTTTGCCTCGGATTCGTGAAATTGTTGAGGGCATCAAGGGTTTTGCAAGCCCCTTTATTTACAAAACATCACAATATTTACTATTACAAAATAATTGTGGCGATTAAGGCCGTCAAATGAACAGGGGCATACTCTATCAGTATGAACTGGGTACAATTTTGTGCGGAATATCTTTTTTTCTAAATAGTTTTTATCGCTTTTTGTTCGTTTGCCATGGTTTCCTTAAGAAAAAAGATCGGTAAACCATTGAACAAAGTTTAAATTCTAATCATCATCATCATCAGCATCATCATCATCATCATCATCATCATCATCATCATCATCATCATCATCATCATCATCATCATCATCATCATCATCATCATCATCATCATCATCATCATCATCATCATCATCATCATCATCATCATCATCATCATCATCATCATCATCATCATCATCATCATCATCATCATCATCATCATCATCATCATCATCATCACCACTGTCTTTATTTTCCTCTTTATTTTCAGTTTCGTGGTCGCTTAAACGCCTTTCAATAAGAAACTTTCTCTTATCAGTTGCAGCTTATATTGCTTTCTTCTGGGTCAAAATCATCATTTCTAAGAAACACATATTTTGTCTCCATTAATTTCTTTTGTATTGGATCTTTCTTTAATTTTCTCATCCACAAAAGGCGCTCTAAATAGATATTTTCAAATAAGCTTTCACTTTAGCAATAAGCTTTCACTTTGCTCATCGTAACCTCTGTTTATAAAACTTTTTTTCATTTTCTCGAACACTGTGTCACTTCTTTGTTTTGCTTCTTCTATTAGTGGTATCCAGGGATCTATTTCTTCTTCAGATTCTAAGTCAGTGCTGTCGAACCTCCAGACTGCTGAGTGCATGGAAGAGGTCGAGACATCGTCTTGGAAATCTCTTTCTTGACTGTCCGAGTCTGTTTGAACACATGTTTCTTTCTTGTTCTCGTAGTGCACAATATTCCCGTTCGTGTCTTTGCTGATTGTAACTGCGGCTAAAGTATACCTTCCATAAAATTGGCAGCTCCTTCCCTTAGAACCGGCAGAGTTTCAATAGCTTGTTATCGAGCAGCAATTGACTTTTATGAGCAGATGAGCATCTTCTAATAAACTTGAGAAAAATTCATACTAAAATGACCCATTGAAATGAGGTGTTGTTGTTTCTTTTACCATGAAACTTACTATTAAGTACACGCTTAAAACAGTTCACAAGTCGTGCGTAAATAAGCCTTCTGTGTAGTTACGCAAGAGACCTCAGACTGCGAAATACGAATGGGTTTGGGTTGATTAGGGTTAGAGTTACGACTTGCAGATTGTTGCGCATGGTTGTGACGTATGCGCTTTCTGTGCACTTACGCGTGAAATGTAACAAAGTGCACTATATCGGGCGGAGGGGGGGGGGGGTAATCTATTCATCTTTTATGGAACATTCCATCTTCGACCTCATGAAAACTTTTTTACCATTGCACTCATAAACATTCATCCCCGAGCTGCCGGGCGAGGGTACTAACTCCGCCAGGAGATTTTAATTACGCCCGGGAATGGAAATGCGAAATCAAAGTTTTCCGCCATTATGTCTTGCATTATGTCATAGATGTTGGGCGTTTTTGTAAGTTATGCGCATGCGCGAGTTTAAGACGAGTTAAAACTGGTAACAAGTAAGCGTTTGGAAGCGTGCGATTTGCTAAATTAATATTTTTGATCGCGTCAGCATAACTGATATTTTGAATTATAAAACTTTTTTTAAAATATTGGTTTCGAAAAGTTGTTGTCCCTAGATGCCTCAGGAGTAGAATTGCATTGCAAGTTGGAAGGAAAGTTGCATAGTTTAACACGGCCTAAATGCGAAATATGTAAAATTTTAAGTATTTGAATTTTCTTCTGCCTAGATTTCACTGAAGAATGGGAAAATGAGAATATCTCACACCCAATACTAACACGTATTCAATCACAAATTTCCCGGAGCAGGAAGCTAAATAGAAAACTTATGGCAGTTGCTCATCTGTATTTCAGAGAAGATATCAATTCAGCTTACATTAATTTGTTACGAGAACCTGTCGCCCGTTTTATATCGCATTATTATTACTGCAGAAGTCCAAACCGATATGCTCACAAGTTAAAAAGGTTAAAAGAATTAGGCCATTTTAATGTCACCATTGAAGAATGTCTAGAAAAACAATACGAAGGATGCGTATGGAATCATATGACAAGATTCTTCTGCGGACCCCAAGCATTTTGCAAAACCGGAAGTGACGAAGCTTTAGCGGCAGCTAAACATAATATGCTTCATTACTATGCAAGTGTGGGGATTATGGAATACATTAACGAGTTCGTTATGGTTTTGCATAAACGATTGCCCGATTTTGTACTTCCGCCTCCCAAGACAGGAATGGGCAAGGAATTTGTAACAAAGGGAGTTACAAAGAAGCCGCTTAATCAGTCCACTAGAAAAAGGATTATGGACGTTAACAAGGCCGATATTGAGTTGTATGAATTTGCGAAAACCTTGTTTTTTAAACAAGCCTTGAATTGTGGTATTGAGATTAAAACCTAGAGTAATTTTACATTCGTAAAAAAATTAGGCTATATTGCAATTCATAGTTTCTTGCGAAGTAAAATTACTGCAAAATGACCACCACGAGAGAGAGAGAGAAGGCCGTTGGGCTACTTCTTCCATTGTCATTCCCCTATGAGGGCATTCTACTATATTATTTACAAGCAATTTCCTTTAGTAATAATTTAATATGGTAGAAAGGATTTTCTAAACCGTTCGGTTTTATATTAATAATAGAAATATTTACATCACAAGTAAAAGATTTGTTTCTACATGAAATTTATTCCTATGCAAGCTTTCAAAAATGCCATCGGTGAGTCTTCAAAAGTAAACATATAAATTTACCATATGATCGGAGTAGCACAAGAGCAATTACGCATTTAAAATAAACGACAACCACCCGATATCTCGCCACAAGGATCAAAGAACACACCTCCACTGACAAAAACTTACACGTCTGTAAACACCTACAAAACCCCAACTGCAATTCTAAATACACCCGGTCCTGCTTTTCTATCTTAGACACTGCTAAAACTTCCTTCTCTCTCAAACTCAAAGAGGCTCTTTATATTCGTAAACACAAACCAGACCTTAACAGACAGGTTTAGCATTTTAATACTATTTTCCAGCTATAAATAATTTTTGTTGTTGTTATGTTCTGTCTTTTGTGTTGTCTCACTTAGTATGCATATTCTGTATCCTGTTATGTTGTCAATCATATTTGTAAATAATCTAGTTATTCATTGAGTATCACCTCGCTTGTATATATTTCTACTTTATATAATTCACAATGTAAATAATCTATTCATTCGCACTGAAGATGGCTTATAGTTAAGTCGAAACATGTTTGCTTCAAAAAATTTTGTCGTTTATTTTAAATGCGTAAACATATAAAATCTTACAAGTATGAGTCGATATCCATCCCTTCTTGCGACTATAATTGCATTCACAAACTATAAAAAGGGTCAGTTTTTTTTAAAGGCTAAAAAAATAGTTCAAAAAATATTATGATTCCTTTGAAAACACACTAAGTAAGCACAAAAAGTACAAAAAAATTCCGGAGCCGGAGGGCGAAGGAATGCGCGTGAAGTACTGCATCGCGGTTGTCAGTGGTCATTACCATTGGCCATTGGGACGATGGATATATGGCATCAGCATTCACTTTTTTGTCAAGAGCAAGTCCTCGAAGAATTATTATATTGCTCAGTGGTCGTCACTCAAATAACCAGGAATATTGAAATGCCAGGATGACAGTCTTGGCAGGTTTGGCAGGTTTGGCAGGCTTGGCATCATCATTACCTCATTCTGACCTCATTCTGATTGTTTTTGTGTATTATTATGCGTGATTGTAATAGCATGCTGATTCTCCACTTTGCAAACAAAGTAAAAAATAGCAGCTGCTCATAGTTTTCGCAGCTAAAATTTCTGCTGAATTGCTCAATGAAAATTGCTCAATGAGCACTATTTAATTAATAAATTGTCGACATGTACGGAACCTAATTGAATATACTATAAAACTAAATTAAACATTTATATTCACCTTAGTCGCGCCTTGTCATGAATTTGGCATATATAGGTGTAGCTTAGGATTTCGAATTAAACTTACTATCTGAACACACTGAACAAGTTTTTAAAGCCCGGTTTACACTCTCGTCCAAATTCCTGTACATACAGGAAAATTTGTATTGCCTATTGGTAGATCTCAAATTTTGCAGGGAGTAACGGGATGAAGTATCTCAGTGTTAACAACCACTGCTTTAGCTTCGCTGAATGTTTCTACTAAATACTTTGAAAATTGAAAATAGGATTTCCCGTTTGACAAATACAGTTACTTAGATTTAAACAGCGAGGGCTTACCCACTGAGCTATATTAAAATTCCTGGAGGACCGGCTCCCGGCCATCACAACTAATATCTGAAGTTTGTGCTTAATATTACCTTCCAACGCGGATTTTAGCCTTGTAATTTGTAATAAAAAGATCGGTAATTTGTGCTTCATACAGATACCTTTCATACAGAGTTTAGCCTTATTCTAGACAAATAGTGCAGGCGAGCGTTAGGTGATTTCAGCACCTCTCTGGTAATTAACTATGGTAATACCTGCACCTATATAGTTTGTCCCCTATCGGTGTGAAAATTTGCTATGCTTCATTCTGTTAACTTTTTATTTTGCGTAACTACGCCCACAGACGTTCTGTCACAACAGGGGGAAACTCCTGGATTAGAATTCAATCGCATTCAGTAGTTTCTGTTATCACAGACGCTAGATCGTTGAGCTAGGAACGGAATAGGAAGCAGCTAGGAACGGAATTAAACTCTATATAAGAGGGTAAGAGGATGTTTTCAACACGTACGGATGACGGATTGATATTTAGGGCTGCTTTCCACTTATATACGCGTTTTTTACTCGCGGAAACTTTAAATGCTTCCAAATTGTTAATATTTAACAAATGGTTATACTGAAAACATAAGTTACTTCGATTTATTCACCTAACGTCTTGGAATATTGATAATGCAAAGACTCAGGTGGGTATATTAAATGTAAATGTGATGTTGCTACTCTGAGTCACCAACCGGGCAAGCTGAAAAATTAGCTTGACCACGGTGGGAATCGAACGCGCGACCTTTGGTTAGCTAGAGCAATTGGACTAGCAAAGCAAAGGTCGCGGGTTTGATTCTCACCGTGGTCAAGCTAATTTTTTACCTTGCCCGGTGGGTGACTCAGAGTAGTCTTGGAATATATTTAGGATTTAGAGAATTTTCACTTTTACGTGCGCGTGTACGTGCGTATGAAAAACACGTAAGTGAAAAGCAGCCCTTACAGTCGAGCATAATGTATTGTGTAGTTTTGAACTTGTGTTATATAACGACATATAAACCTCATAATAAGCAATTTTCTACTAATTTTCTCGTAGTTTTACACCTTTAATTGCAGAACTCAAACAGGTTAAGACAGGTTAAGGCAAGAATTATTCTAAGGTGCGGTGATAACCAGTTTGCATGTGCGGTGATTTTTGCGCCGGGAAATCAAAAGAGATTTTGTGCAGTGATGAAATGCGACAGTTATTACTTAATATCAAGTATGCATAAATTATGGCCGCTAGTCAATAACTTAAAGTTTAAGTTGTAGAATCAATACATGAACTCATGCTGATTGAGGGCACTCAAAGCTTCTCTGCACGAAACAACGTTGTATTTATATACATAAATTTTTACAATTTCATCTGTGGAGTGATCAACTTTCCTAACAGTAATTCGTAAGATTAGCTCGTAAAAGGCCCAAACAGGGCTCTTTTTGTCTCTTCAAATAAGCAGTTTTTTCTGAAGCTACGGAGAGATTTTTCACTTTTGATCTTCAAAACAAATCATCAAAATAAAATTGCAATCAGTTTAAAATTGTTGATCCAGTTGACGAAATGTATATTATTCATACCTTTCTCCTAGACCTCGTGTTCGAGATATGGCAGAAAATTCTGAACCATCAAAAGTATATCGGAAGGTATAATATACTCGTACACAATTAAAAATCGTACAAACTATAATTCTACCTTTCGTTCTAACCTTACTATACCCGTGTCCATCTCTTAATATCTTCGGTAATTCAAACGGTTGAGATGTAATTGTTGTGGGCTTGAGAAGTGATACATTTCGTGTTGGTACACTTCATCTAACGAATGATGTGACGCAAATCAGTCCACAAATTTGCTGAAAAACAACATTCGACGTTTATTTCTGGTATAGCTAATATTTCCATCATTCACTCTCACTGGCACAAAAATAATCATAAAGCTAGTGTAAACATTGCCCGTTCAATTTTGCTGCAATATACCATGGCAGCAATTAAGTAATGGTTTAAAATCGAAGTTTGAAACGGTTAAAGTAGTACAAAATCTTCAGACACAAAGAAAATTTTTTTTAAATAAATATTAGTAATATTGAGAAAGTTATTTTTCTCAAATATTATTTTATTCTGTGATGCATCAAATTACGCTTTCAAAAACACTTTTTGAAGTTAAAGCAAAGGTGTAATAGCCTTGTAATGCGTTGTTATAAAAAGCTGAAAATTATACAAACCTGAAAATTATAATAGTAGCTACAGCTCATCTTTACCGCGAAACATATTAATACGAAATAAACAAAGTAAACACCTACCCTTTGAAAACACTTCTATAAGCTTGCAGATTATGAATTATTTCTCTTACACGGCTTTGTTTTGACTGTAGTCCATGTTCATCTTTGCTATCATTCTGTCATCCTTCATATATTTTTTTCAAAAAGGTTTACGAAATAAGAGTTAAATTGCTGACATTCTCATTGAAATTCAAACTTTCTGTCTTAGCCAATCAGAACATTTGTTGATTACCAGTTGTCACTCGCGCATGCGCGTAACTTACAAAACCACCCAACGTCGACCGTCCATGACATATAATTTGGACAGCTTTAGATTCAGCTATGTTCTCCCGGGTTCCGGGTGTAATTCCTAATCTAAAACGACATAAAAATTTTGCTTATACGAAACAATGCAAAAAATGAGGCAGTGAATAACTTTTGGCTATTCATTTATAAAGAATATTTTTACATAAAAATCAACTAATGCGATTGCTTAGAGTTTTAGTAATTTATTGTGACTTACCCCGAATTCGCCACTGATGATTAAGGACGTGTGCATGATGTTGTTTTTTCACTTTTGTGTAATTCTGTTTTGAAGGAAAAAAAGAAAAGATTCCCGCAATTATCCTGCAATGTGGAGCATACTATGTTGTAGTATTTCAAGAACGAGAAGAGGAACTGCTATACGCATTGAAAAATGCTGCAGAGAATGGATATAAAAAAATGATTGTAAGTATAATGAAACATCTGCATAAAATATGTCACTGTAAATGTGACGCATGCCGGATTCGTTGGGTACATGACCGTGTTTCTTGAAGTATACTTCGGAATTTTAACATTTCCTTAGAGTGGAGGAACCGCAGTGGATGCCGTTGAAGAAGCTGTTCGTATTTTGGAGGATGATCAGTATTTTAATGCTGGTCGTGGATCATTAGTTAACGTTGAAGGAGACGTAGAATGTGATGCAATGATTATGGATGGAAACACCATGAGCATTGGTATTTTTGTGTATGCGTAAATTATGTGCTTTCATACTACAAAGTTAAATATGTAAAAAACCGTGCAATATCTGTGTAGCAAGAGGGACGGCAAGAACGATAATTGAGGGGCGGAGGCAGATATTTATATCTTATTGTTTATATGCCGTAAGAGCAATTGATTTCAAAAGAGGTGAAAATGCAGTGCACGAATGTATGAATATTGCTCCCTACAAATTATTGCTCTTGCGGCGCTCTTGCACAACATAACTTCCGT